TCCTATGCTCAGTTATAATTAAAACAGATGTTAGTTACAGTTGTTCATTAAGTCTTATTCATATTTCCTGTTACCAGAATCTGACAAGGACTTCAAATAAAAAATACCCTAAAAACATTGTTTTAAAGAAACAAAACATAAACCTGGAAATCTAGATTCAGAACTCTATATGTTTGTGCATATATATCTCTTTATAATTATTTTTAGAAAAAATTCTTTTAATAACAAATTTAATCACAAGGAATTATAGTTAGTACTTTCCATGGGTAGTATTCCCCTGGTAATAGCAGCATACAATTTCAGTTCTCCCACAGATGATGAGGGACAGAATTCTCCATTTACTGGGAGCCTACAAGCGCCACTTACTATAATTTCTCATGGACTTTGCAGAAAAATTGCACGGGCAAAGAAATAAAGATTAAGGCCAGGCGCGGTGGCTCACGCCTATAATCCCGGCACTTTGGGAGGCCGAGGCAGGTGGATCACAAGGTCAAGAGATCGAGACCATCCTGGTCAATATGGTGAAACCTCGTCTCTACTAAAAATACAAAAATTAGCTGGGCACGGTGGTGCTTGCCTGTAATCTCAGCTACTCAGAAGACTGAGGCAGGAGAATTGCCTGAACCCAGGAGGCAGAGGTTGCGGTGAGCCAAGATCGTGCCATTGCACTCCGGCCTGGGTAACAAGAGTGAAACTTTGTCTCAAAAAAGAAAAGAAAAAGAAATAAAGATTAGTACTTTTCTTTCTCCAAATAGTCTCAGGTGAATGACCCCCAATTTTTCGATAACAAATAGGTGTGGAATAATCTTTTGGTGAATTTGATCCTATTCTTATTTGTATCATAAAACTGAAACATGTTAGTATTTTATTCTTACTACTGGACTTAGTAACTCACAAGAGACTTTTGGTATATTCTACACTAGTATTTCTCAAAATATAATCCCATACTTGATTACAATTACCACTGGTGTTTTTGTGATATCAGCCCAGACCTGTGGGCTCAGAATCTTGCAGATCAATGAGTAGGGAGAGGGGATCTGTATTTTTCTAAGTTCCCTGTGTTATGAATATTCAAGTTTGGGGACCACAGTTGAATATAATAATGCCTAATACATGGCTTATGTGCCTTAATTTCCTTATTGTGCATCTGTTGCAGACATACTAGTTGATCACAACATTTTTTCCTGAAGAGCTAATATAAAGCCATATAAGTCTACTCAACATTGTGCCTAAACAGCTGGTTGGCGTGGATGATAAAAGTCTCTTTTGGAACGATTCTATACCAACATTGCTATTTGGCAATATTGTCCTTAGGGACATAGCTAATAATTTAGAGACAAGCACTGATGTTCTTCAAATTGCAAAGAGAAGTCAGAAAACTTTTGCGTAAAGAATTAGATATAAGGCCTAGAGCAGAGTAGAAACTATGAGGTGTCAGCTCTGGAAATCACATTCATAACAACAAAAAGCAATCGATAGAGGAAAACATAAACAGATGGTGTAGTCATTCAAAGGACACACAACTGAATGAGGCCATTAAATAGCTCTTTATGATTCCATTTAGTAAGTTCTGAAGGCTTAAATATGGATGGCACAAATTACTTTCATAATTATGACCCAAAATACCCAGAAAAGGATAAGTCTTATAAGGTTCTGTGCAATGGAGAGGCCCCAAAATTGACCTTTTCATACCTTAGGTTTAAGGCATGATTGTTTTAGAAAGTTCCCTAACAAAGGAGGCTAAAGAGAAGTGCTTGAAATGTAAGTTATTAGCGAATTGATAATATTAATTAAAAATAATTTCAATCTTAGGTTTTCAGATACTCATTTTTACATTCATATTTACTTTGTTCATTCTCCTCTTGTAATTCTGTGTATTGAAGAACTCAGTAATAACGTGCGTATATTATCTTGACCTCATGCTCTGTAAAATTGAACTTCTTGCAGTATAGCTCTACTTTTATGTAGTCAATTTAGAATTATATCAGGTGATTTACTGTCAAATAATTCTTACTAAATGTCCCTTTCCCATTTGTATTCAATTCATTTGATAAAGGTATCTGTTAAGGGTGATAATTTCTGAAGCAGTACATCAAAAATATAAAAACAAATATACTTATTGCTTTTTTGATAACTGCACAGGGCTAGGATCTGTAAATCCTCACTCTGTGTGGTATAAAAATGATAACTTATGGATAAAGCAAATAAATTATTCTCCAAAAATGGTTTTGGCCATTCTTTAAAAAATATTTATGTTAATAATTAACACATAATCATAAAATCTAGTCAATATTTTATGTATTTTAAAAATGTAATCGTTGTGGAAATCTGTTTTTCCATTTAAAAGATCACCTTATTTTCCATGTAAAATATATTTTCTATATAAAATATTAAGAAAACTAATTGTTTCAGGGGAATATATTAGCTGGATAGACTAAGGAAGGGGCTTCAGAGACATTCTTTAAGGGAATTGCTTCTGACAAAACACACCATTAATTTTATGGCCATATTAAAGCAACTTTTTACCGTATCATTCCAAATTTACTCTTTTCCTTACTGGAATACTTGAAATAAGCACTGAACATGAAAACAAGAGATAGGACTTCTAGTCTTGGCTTAGATTAGGATAATTGTTATTATAAAGAAAAATCATGTGCTCAACTAAATTGGACATAGTGGTTCATGTTAGTATCCCATGAACACCTGGAAAACAAGTACTTACTATATGTAGATATACATACCCATATGTTTATGGGAAGAAAAAACTTAAAATGGATTGGTTAAATAAAGACACAGACTTTTAAAGTTGGCTGCAACACAGATTTGCAGTATGAACATTTAACTATTTCATTGACAGTGATAAAGATTCTTGCCACCCTTCTTTTTGTAAGCCATTGCATCAAGAACTACAACGGTGTTTCATTTAAAAGCAATCTAAGGTAGGAATAAGCACGAGTGTGTCTATGGACTCTATGATTTATTAAAAGATGCATTTTAACAATTCTTTTTTAACAAGTTCCAGAATATCTGACTCTCTTTAAACTTTAATGTAAAAGCATCACTTTTTTTGTTTTGGGAATACTTTTTTAAAAGCAATTCTTTACTGTATATCTTTATGATTCTAGCAAATGTAATTAGGATATAATACTATGTTGGGATTATTTTGCCAACTTTGTTAAATGACTTATTTACAGAAAATCTGACATCCTCTTAGCCTCTATTTTAAGTTTGACATCAAATGGTTAGAATTTTGAGGAAGTCTGGCCAATGATGAAATGATAGCTTGGTAGGGCATGGTAACCCAACTGTTTAAAAAATATGTCTCTTCATAATTTATAATGACAAGCACTTAGGTTTTATTTCACTATACTAATGTATTCTAGTCAGTATGTCTGTGTACTATAGCTTACCTATATCCATAGTAGTAATGCAGGTTCTTGTCTAAGAGTAAATTGTAACTCTAACCTTATATAATGTTTTAGTTTCATTATTTCTAGTTAATTACTTCTGCATTTTCTCATGCACATGATAATTAGATGAGATTTTATCTAAGCATGTTCTTATTTAATTATTTCTACTATTTTGTACAGGAATATTATTGTTTTTCCTACATTTGTTTCTTATGTTGATAATCTGTAGTTATATATTTTTATTAATATATTTATTTATTCCAATAACTGAGAGAATATGTGGTAATTTAAGTTTTATTCAGCCAGATTATAGGGAGGAAGAAGAGGATTTGCAAATTAATTTGATTTTATCTTTGTTCAGTCTCCTAGCTACTGTCTATTATATATTTATTTTTATTGAATACAGTTAAGTTTATCTTTAATCAGGATTGACAATCTTTTTTAGTCCAAACCTTTGAATAACTAGAAGTAAAGACTTTACAAACTTCAACTAAGTAATATTATAGAAAGAGTCCCTTAACTGTCATATCTTACCTTAGTAGAATCAATTAACCAAACACCAAAGAACAGAGTTGTAGAAGAATAAGCAATGAAGGAGAGAATACTGCTTGTGGTATTGGACGTAAGGGGAATTTCCAGGATCTGTATTATTCACTGACACATGGCAAGGAAAACTGTTTGCAATCAGTTGTTTCCAGCTGGTTCTTCACAGTAGATGGTGTTTATCACTCTCAAGGCTCTGATCTATCAAATATTAATGATAGATGATAAAAAGAATCTTAGTGAGTTTGTCTGCCAAAAGATGTAGCTCCAATTTAAGAGGGTATTAATTTTCATAGAGAGGTAATATTTTTTCTGTGGTATTCCTTAAGCTTAATGTACTTTCTAAACTTGGATGTACTTGGATATAAATCTGTCGTTTTAAATTGAAATTCCTCTGTTCACTCACATATTTCATTGAAAACAATATTCAGTGATGTCAGTGGTAAAAATAGGTATGAAATAGGTGATTTCTTTCTTTAATATGATTTTTAGGAATTTGGCAAAGAACCAAGTTGTTTTACTATCAAAGTTATATTGATATGCATGATGTTTACAAATAGAAAAAAATTCCAGATTTTTAGAGAAGAAAAAATATCAAAGGTAATTTAGGAAAATGTAAATGAATATAATCTAAAATATTTGTTTACTTGTCATTTAAAAAATATAAATAATACAGGTAACTTCAGGATAAAAACATCACTATAATGTGTCATTATATATTTTTATTCTAAAGCACATGATTATATGGAAGTTTATCTGAAGAATATGAGATTCGTCTTGTGTTATTTGAATAACTTTTTATCTGTATGACCCAAAGACTATTTCATAATATCTTATTTTGTTAAATAATTACTAGTTTTTCAAAAGTATATGTTTCAAAAGTGAATTTAAAATTTCAAGAAGACCCAGACCCTGTCAAGTCTGATTTTGCATTTTCATGCCTTGTTGCATTATGGACTGTTTAGGACTTTGAGAAGAGTTAGCCTCCCAATTGTTGAAAGGCGAGTGGTCTGCACCTCCTTTTTCCCTTAACTGTTCAATTCTCAGATATTGACCAGTGGAATAAGGTAATTGAACAACTAGGAACACCATGTCCAGAATTCATGAAGAAATTGCAACCCACAGTAAGAAACTATGTGGAGAATCGGCCCAAGTATGCAGGACTCACCTTCCCCAAGCTCTTCCCAGATTCCCTCTTCCCAGCGGACTCTGAGCACAATAAACTCAAAGGTATGCTCTTCAGGAATGACTTAAGAACAACTATGAGGGTGACGGGCCAAACAAGTACATGTTATAGAGACGTCACTCTCTTTCTCTTTGTTTCCTTTTATGTTTAGTTGACACATGATAATCGTGCATATTTATGGAATACAGGGTGATATTTTGAAATGTATATGGAGGCATATGGTCAAATCAGAGCAATTGGTATAACCTATCACCTCAAACATCGATCAGTTCTTTAATTGGCACAAAATCAAGTAAAGCGAGGTATTTCTTGGAAGATCTTTCCTACAAAGGGGAGAAACCATGGATTTTAGGTCTGAATATTCAGAGGGAAGGATAGTGTGATGATGCTTTGCACTATGTATTTCACGGGGGATTATTTAGAATCCTAAAGTTATTTAACTCTGAAAGACCAATATAATATACATATATATACATTGAAATCATGGTTTCAATCCTTTTTATTACTTAAAAATATTTTCAGTGCAAGGTTTAGTTGCAAATTGGAGATGCAGATCTGAATTTCTTTTTTTTAATAATTTATAGAGTGCTTAAATTATTTTTTTATTTTAAAATAGTAAATGGGATTTTATATACATTTTTTATTCAATATAAACACATCCATTAATAAGTCATTTTTTCCTATCACTTTGTTGGCAGTTAATGTATTTGAGTAACAAATATCTTCTCCCACAAAATTGACTTGATAATGCCTCAGTCTCATTTGGAGACACAGAATAAATTTGGCAATGCATAAATTGTAATATAAATAATAATACTCAAATTCTTATACTTTGGGACACTTTTGGAAATCTGATGTTGAAATAAATCTGTTTCCCTCCTGCCTGGTTTCAAATTTGTCCCTCTGCCTTAAAATCTGTATGACCCTGAGCAAGTTACCTAATTTTTCTTTCCTTCTTTTAACAAATGAATGTAGAGGGAACCTACCTTATAGGGTTGTTGGGAAGATTAATTGACTTAATAATCTGTCGAACACTTAGAGCAGTGCCTGGCCCACTGCAGATGCTTGGTGACATTAAATATAATAAAAATAGTAGTTTTAAGATGTATCTGTAAATTATCAAAAAAGAAAAACTTAGGACATATGCTTTTTAAATTTAGTCCCAAATGTTACATGAACAGATTAAATATCTACAGACTTAACTTACAAGCTTAATATGTATAGCTGAGGAAGACTTAAACAAGATGAGGAATCTGAAATGTGGTGCCACTGTTTTCCAGGATGTTTTTATATCCTCTGAACTTTTATCTAATGGGTTTTAAAAGTGCAACCCTGCTTCTGTGCTCTTGACACGTTGAACAGTTGGATTTCTTCCTTCAGCTGCCTCTGTGGACTCTCTTACTGACAGTGGACGAAATTATTTCTAAATCTACTGCTTTTAAGATCAACATTGCCTGTATCCAGTTTGAAAAAGAGCTGATACTCCAAGTGAAGATCTTATAGAAGTCATGCCTTAGTGATACTAACTGAGATATCAGGCAAAAGTAATCCCTTCTTATGAAGACACTTGCAACAATAAAGAGACAACAAAGCCCTCATTCAACTATTGTATGAAATCACAATAAAAGGGCTATTAAGATACTATGTTTCATAATATAATTACAATTTTCTTGAATTTACTTTTTAATTCAATCTCTGTAATTATATTACTTTTGTAAATGATAAACTAGTTTGCATATTTGATTATTGATTTTAATTTTTAATATAAAATTGGCAAATATAAATAATCATAATATACAAATAACCAAAGAGAAGAATTTATTCTACTGTATTTGGAAAAGAGCATAACACATTCGCTTTCAAATGAAAGAATGAAAGAGGACGCACTGAAACATTTTCCCATATTGTTTCCTAACAATATTATTGATCATTGTTTCTTAGCAAGATGGTTTGGTATTGGTGTAGTTCATGATCCTATTCATGAACAGTCCATTCTAATCCCAGCTTTTTCTAAGAGCAAAGAAATGGTTAGATTTGATGAGAGAATCTATGAGAATTGTACATGAATTTGGATGTAAAATCAGTTACAAATTAAAGAGATCTTTAAAGCAATGAATAAACACAGCCCTGTTAGGCTATTAGGAGGCCATTGGCAATGAGAAAATTAATTATTGAATAAACATGTAAGTATTGCTGTATTTTTGTTATTCCTGTGCCGTTCAGAGTTTTAATTTAAAAGTAATAATAGTTTAGTTTCTAGGATTGAGTTTCTCAAAAAAATGGTTAATAAAAAGTTCTCATTTGATTTAACTAGTGATTTGTTTATATTTGTTAAGAACATTAAAAGATATATTTATTGATTACCAAGTAAATTGGTAATTATTATTAATTACTCATTGGTAATAATAATTTAATTACCAAAAAATACAGGTAAAAAATTAATTGCTATATTTTAACTGTGGTATAATTAATATTATGTGAAAAGTACATGAAAAGCACTCAAAAAAAGATGCCAATAATCATAGTCATTGCCTCTAGCTAAGGGGGTTAGATATTATTTCCTGATTTTTATATTTTATGTAATTTTCAAATTTGTAGAATTAGCCCAGTTGTCTTAATCTGAAAATTGATTAAATAAAAACTGATACATGTCCACAGAGTCATCTATGTTGATTGTTTGAAAACCAATTTAATTTTTTCTCTTTAATTTGATGTCTTACCATATATTTAGAATAAACAATATTTTAACCTTTCAACTTTCTCTTTCTTTCTTTCTTTCTTTCTTTCTTTCTTTCTTTCTTTCTTTCTTTCTTATTTTTTTCTTTCTTTCTTCTTTCTTTCTTTCTTTTTCGACAGAGTCTTACTCTGTCACCAGGCACTAGGCTGGAGTGCAGTGGCACAATCTCGGCTCACTGCAACCTCTGCCTCCCAGGTTCAAGTAATTCTCCTGCCTCAGCCTCCCAAGTAGCTGGGACTATAGATGCAAGCCACCACGCCCAGCTAATTTTTGTATTTTTTTTTTAGTAGAGACAGGGTTTCATCATGTTGGCCAGGATGGTCTCCATCTCTTGACCTCGTGATTCGCCCTCCTCGGCCTCCGGAAGTGCTGGGATTACAGGCTTGAGCCACTGCGCCCGGCCAACTGTTCAACTTTCAAATCGATTGAGTAACAATATTGATTTGATGTTTTCATTTCTGTTAAAACTTTATGTCAAATTTTACATATTTTTAGAGATTAATGTCTTTTAACAATGTTATTAAATAAATATGCTATCACCATGTAATTTTATAACTGTTATCCACAACCATAAATTAGTTATGATAATATTTACATAATATAGAGTTTTTCCTTAGTATCTGGTGTAGCATTAGACTGGCTTCAGTCTTTAGCTACTAGATTTCATCAAATCATTATTTCATTGATTAAAAAATGCCTGATGATTACAGAATGTAAAAATAAAATTCAGCATTTGAATGATATTATTTCTATCACATCAATTCTTCTATTGTTTATATATATATAAGAAATTTGTGGCTGGGAGCAGTGGCTCACTCCTGTAATCCCAGAATTTGGGCGACTGAGGTGGGAGGATCCATTGAGCTCAGAGTTCGAGACTAGTTCGGGCAATACAGGGAGACCTTATCTTTACAAAAAAATAAATAAATAAGATAAAACAGCTGGACATGATGGTGCATGCCTGTAGTTCCAGTTACTTGGGAAGCTGAGATGGGAGGATCCTTTGAGCCCAGGAGTTCCAGGCTGCAGTGAGCTGTGGTTATTCTACTGTACCCCAGCATGGCAACAGAAGGAGATCCTGTCTCAAAAATTAATTAATTAATTAAATTAATAAACAAACAGAAAAAAAGAAATTTGTCTGATTTAAACTGTTAAGTCAATTTGTATACTTGAATTAAATTAAAATTCTGATAATACTGTTTTATGAATAAGTATGTAAAGACACACGTTAATTAACTTCAAACAGCCATCCACACATTTGTTGAACATCATGCATTTGCACTTTCCATGCTCTTTGTTCTGTTTATTTTATATTCACACTGGTTACCAAATATGATTACTTTGCTTGCATAAACTCTCTGGGTTGGTACATCTTACTTAGAAATTTGAGTGAATAATTTTATACTCAAAGCAGTATAACCCTTAGAGAGCCTCAAAATAAAGCCTTAGGCTTAGAGACACAAAGAAACTGGTGTAAAATACATTTCCTCTTCCATCACACCAAAGAATTTACCTGATGTTTGGAAGGAAGATGCTATTCCATACTTTTTATTTTCTTAATTTCCTCTGTTCAACAAATTTCCTTACTGAAATCAAAATCTTACTAATTATTTTTCTCATTTATTGTTTCAGCCAGCCAAGCCAGGGACTTGTTGTCAAAGATGCTAGTGATTGACCCAGCAAAAAGAATATCAGTGGACGACGCCTTACAGCATCCCTACATCAATGTTTGGTATGACCCAGCTGAAGTGGAGGCGGTAAGAAATAGGCTTCCTTTACTTTCACAAACAAAGCATAGCTCATAGCAAAAACTGAATAAAACTAGAAGACAAAAGAATTCACAATGGACTTGTATAAATTTTGTAAGTCCAAAGCCTATCATCTGCCCCTCTAAAAGTTATTTTCTTCAACATATGTTTTAAATATATTTTTTTCAGGGCTTACTAGCAGAGGGGATGATTTAGTCCAATAAGCCTTAGATGTCTGTGATACACTGCCATTGTTTCTGTTAAATTGCTAACACTTGTATTTCTTCTTGTGTGTTTAACTGTGAGCCTCTTCTAATGCAAACTTAATGGTATGAACCAACAGAGGACAAGTTGCTTTGCTTGCATTTTTTAAAAAAGATACCTGCCGCTAGTAAAATGTGATACTTAAGAATATTTCAATGAGAAAGTTTTTAAAGACCACTGGTGCCTTGTGAAACCTTCCCTGAACTAGATGAACTAGAAGTGTGTATTTCAGTAAGTACATTCCTTCAGGTTAATTGATATGATGTATCTCCAGGTCTTATACCCAGACATGGAGAATCTTCTCAGAAGCTTGACTCTTTCTATCTTAAAAAAATATTTTTTAACCACTTAATACCTTCTATTCAACCTCCTTCTTTTATCTTTACCTCTCTCCTTTCTTCTGTATGGATCCAGGCTGAGCAGGGCAAGGGGGTCTTGCTGTTGCCCATGTGTGTTCTACAGGTCTCCTGATGAGAATTTCCTTTCTGTACCACCTTTAAATGTTCCTATCAGCAATGTTACCTTCTCTCATAAACATGAAAAGCTTCTCAAATTCTTAGGGTACCTGTGATAAATTATCTCATTTTCTTTTACATAATACCTTCAAATTCATTTGTTTGGATTTGTTCTTAATCTTTCATTTGAAATACTGTTGATTTCCCCAAGGTATTCTTGAGGATATTTTCACTTTCTTTCAGTTTTCTTTCCGCTGCTTCACCTTGTGTTTTTCCATGTCAAAGGTGCCAGATTCAAACACATAATTCTCATTTCTTCATTATTCACTGGAGAAGATATGAAAGATGGCAGTGAGGACTCAGTAGAATTGAACTTTACAGACACAATATTCAAGGGCTCCTTTTCATAATGTAACCCAATCTCTAAGCATTTAAAAACTTCAGAGAAAACACTTAAGTGATTAATGAGTCTCCCAAATGTGGAAACCGAAGTGTAACCATCCTGCATTACATTTTTTTTAAAGATCTGCTCTCTTAATTAATTTTACAATGATGTTGAAGTTTCATTTTGCCTCAAGTTAATTTTTAGTCATTTTTGATTCTTACAAAATAAAATTCCTACAACTAAATATTTCTGAGTTTAATTATAGTGCTCCTAAAATTAATATATATTCTTACAACTAAAATATAGAACCTCTTCTAGTGTCTCACTCTTGGGAAATACTTGAAAAGATATTCTTGAGATGGCATGAAGTAATGAAGTAGGTGAGAGAAAATATGATGTAAATGTATATGAAAATTAAGTATAAAAATTTTATCTCCGATGAAATTCAAGAAAATATTTTAGGTTGTATTGATAAAAATGTGGTATAAATGTAACTTATTTAAAATTGCTTCTTCTCATTGATTTAGAGGCATGTTAATTTATGCCTCAATATGTGGCATATTTATTTTTTCTTATATCTAACTTAATGTGTATAATCTAGTTTTAATGGGTTGTGGCCTAGAGTTTAATTAGAGTAATAAAGTCTGCATTTGTAATTCACTTGTAATTATGTTGCCTATAAAAGAGATAGTTTCTTGGAATCTATAACAACATCATACTGAATAATATCAATGAGTTTTTAAATTTATTTTAACTTTTTATGAAAAAATTTCTTGTAGAATGAAAAGATAAAATTTAGGAAACTAAAATAGGTAGAGCCTTTTTCTTAACCATTTTCATATTGGCATGCTAGGGCATGGATAGCAACAAGGCAGGATGCATGAATTTTAGGGGAAGGATCTTATAGAGGCTGCAGGTCCAGGAAAAGAAATCAGTTAATACACAGAACAAGCAATTATTTGACATCTAGACTGGGATCATTGATTATACAAGGGTAAACATGTCTTACATCTAGACATTTTATAGTGAAGAGATGGGAATCCTGATACTAGGGCAAGAACAATTTATTATTCTATGAAGTGCATCACAGTGGTCACAACTAAGAAGAGACAGATCCTGAAGTCTGTAGTCACCTATGCTTTCTGCAAAATCAGTAGTCAACTATGCTTTTTGCAATATCCTTAGAATTCACGTCTCTGTTTTTGCATGTGAACATATGTTTAAAATAAGATGGCCTTTCTTTATTGACACATGGCAAAATTATAATAGAGTGATGTATCTTCTGCCAGGACTGACAAGACTGTTTTGCAAAATGTACTCTGGTATGTCTTTATAATCCAAATAAATGGAAGTATCAAATAATTAGAATTTTCATTCTGATCAAAGAGCCTTCAAGTAATTCAGGTGCTGTTAGAGAGGGAAGGAAATTTAAAGGTGAGGGAGAAGAAAAATAAGTTTCATTGGATGTAAATAATGTCAAGAGGACAAGCGATAAAGGAGAAACTCTGATAATGTGATAATTTAGATGAAAAGTGGAAAGAGTATAGATATGCTATGTGTACTAAGCTATTAATCATACTATGAGCTATCTTATCATGTTTCCAAAACTACCAAAGTACAAAAATCAAATGAGAAGAGCACATGAATGAATTTTTTCATAATTCTAAGAGGAAAAATTTGTCATGTATGCATGAGTTTGAAAATATTTAAAATTCGATGCTAAGCTCCAAGTAATCTATCTGTGTAGTAATAGTACATAAATATTTTGAAATAACTTAAAATTATTAGCAAGTTATTATTCAAATAATGTTTAGAGTAACAAAGTGTGGTTTCAAAATGGAACATGCAAGTCGCATATAATGTCAATGCTTTTTCATTAAACAATTGGAAGATGCTCTAACTCTAGTTCAGTGTTCATTAAGAGGGCAAATATATTGCACACAAATGTAATTGGTTGAGTTGTTTGCATCTTCATAGATATGAAAGATGAGTTAGGTTTAAATTTATGCTCTGCCCATTACTAATTTGCTTTGATCAAGTTTCTTAACCTTTCTGCAATTCAGTTTTCTAAACTGAGAAAGTTCTCCTTTCTTATCATATGTACAGCATAGCATTCTGAGATTTTGAAGAGTTAATGTGCATAAAGTGCTTAACAAGTGCTTAGCAGTCAGTAAGAATCATATAAATTATTCTTACCCTTATAATACTATTACTATTATGACTTTTACCTGCATAGCTTTACTACCTTTTGATATTAGAAAAGGATATATGTATCTGGTAAAAAAGACTAGCTGGACAAGATATTGCAGAAATATTCCACAACATTTATTTTTTGAATAATGATGAAGATGATCTAGTTCCCACATGATTTTAGGTCCATTTTTTCTTTTACTGTTGTCTGATGTGTACCTACCTCTTCTTTGCCAGGTAGAAGAGCATCTAGTGTCATTAGTTTAAAACAAAATAAAGACAGAGTACAGAGCCCACAAATCCTGATTATTATTCTCTATACTTTGGGAAAAGTAGGAGATATTTGGGATTGTTTTGGGGAACTCAGTTTAATATCTTCCTTGTGCCCTGTTGGAGGAAAATGCATTGTTTATGAAGCTTTATTGCCTTATCTCTTACCAGATTATTGAGTTTAGCCACCCTTCTAGGATGCAGTGGTGAATTCACCCCTGAGAGTGAGGCTACAGCACACCTTTAAGAGCACCTGAGTGAACTCCAAGCTAAGGAAGAGTTGATTAACTATTTCTCACAGCACAGAAGAAGGGGATTTATGAGGAACATAAGCTGTAACTATTTTTAAAAACAGTTTTATTTCTGCCAGAAATTTCAGAGCACTTCAAGAAAGCTCCTGAGTACGACAGCCTTACAAAAGGCTCCGTCCTACAGTTCTTGTTCCTTGCAAGGGCATAGGGAGAGGAAGCGGGAGAGGGAGATGTGTGTTCAGGCAAAACCAAATACTTCAAAACTCAAAGAAATCGTCATGAAGAAGCATATTACAAACATTTGGAGTCAATGGGCACTTTTTGATTCCTCAAGTCTTGACTAACAGGAAGGCTCTAGACTTGAGACTAGAACCATCCCCTAAGATGGGAGAGGTGCTGGGACCAAGCTTCGTGGCCAATGGTGATCAACCAGATAGACCATTGTGTTGAAGGCTCTGTTTCAGAGAGGCTCAGATATAGTTGTTAATGGCTGAAACCTTACTCTGGGAATTAGGGCAGAGAAGCAGGTTGAGCTTCTTGGGCCACTGGTGTTTTGAAATATTTTTCTCTAGTGGGTGAACCTGGGGTACTCGAGAACCCAGAGGACCAGCTGGCAGGAAACATAGAAACTTCTGTGTGGCAGCCAAATGAAAGTTCCAGAAGAGAATGCTGGAAATGAGGCCTGGAAATGGTACTCCAGCTATAATGTAGACCACAGAGAGAGAGAGTGGACATGTTTTGTTTGGGAATCTAAGGACACATGACATCCTCAACTAGAGTAAGAGAAAAGGTGTAACTAATTCAGCCAGTTTGATTGGAAGGTGACTTGGTAAAAAGGGCCAGTGCTGAGCTTGTTATTTTTTACCTAATTCAAGATTAATTTGGGAATTGTGACAGGGTTGGGTGGGAATTTAATCTACCAATATAGATCCTGAATTAAACAACCTGATCTTTGGATTCCCAGTGAGAGTACAACCTGAGAAATAGAGTAACACTTACATGTATTTGTGCTGAGTTCAATTAAAATAAGCACTTAGAAAACATGAGCCCAGAATAGCCAACACTATTACACATTTACTGTTTGTTTATAATGTAAAGTGATTAAGAGGGTCTTAAATGATTTATTGATATTATTATTTACTAGTTCATTACTTTAGGGATTATGTTATTTTTGCCTACAGTGAAAAAATTGAT